CTTCAGATCTACGTTGAATTTTTAATTGGCCTTTATTTAATTTCGCATTGACCTTTTAGTGATTTTACAAGTTCTATTAACTTGGCATGTTGTTTAACAATGCATTGAGGCTCTGATTTATTTGAATATTACTTATGAGAAGCCTTTAAAAGTTAAAAGAAATAAAACAATATTTATCACCTTCACATTGTGGTTTTATGGCTAAGAATTTATTCAACATTTATATATTTATCGAAGGTATGAAGATCAAGATAGTGTGGCCATTTGTGTAGTCGCACTCTCCTTTCGTTTTATAGAGGTTGTTTAACCCTGTTTTCGCAACTTGGTCATATTGGTAGGAAGACTTGGAGGAACGCACATAGTCCGAAGTCCATTTTATGAATGATAATTTCCAAAGTCGGACCGTGGACGTGGTACATTCCCAGACATTTCTCCGGCATCATAGTCGGCATCGTCAATGAGTCTTGCCAGTCTTAGCATCCCACAAAAACTCGTCAAAGAGACAAGTGAAACCGATCCTTTGACCAAACGTGTGCTAAACAGTTGTGCAATCTGTCCTTTATTTTACGTATGTAAGTAGAGTCTCGAGATTACCATTAAATCAGTAATATGAGGTGTATTCACCTTATTTCGGTCAAGATGATAAAGGAGTGGAAGGTAAATTTCCCCACAATGATATGAGTAGATCTGACGTTTCCATTCGACTCCCGCTGGGGGTGTTGATAAGACCTATGCGAGGTCGAGACTGCAGTCCAGCCTAGATGAGAACAACTTTTGGAAAAAAAAGGCTATATGAAATTCAACTACTAATTACATACGAAAAATAAATGACGTAGTAGATTTTTATACCAAATATACATTTGCTTCATCGACAATCTCACCAAGGAATGTAATATGACAAAAGGCCTGGCCTTCCTTGAAATTCATATCTCTACTATGTGATCAAAAGGCACTCGTGACAATGTGGCCGAGTGTTTAACGTGTCAAGTACATATTCTGCACTTTCACGGTTCGAGTCCCGCTGGGGGTGTTGATAAGATTTATGCGAGGTCAAAAATGCAGTCCATCCTGGATGCGAACAACTTGTGGGAAAGCAAAGCTATGTGAAATTCAATGGAAACGTCAGCTCTACTCATATCATTGTGGAAAAATTCTACTACCAGTCCTTCATCACCTTAGACGAAATAGGGTAAATACACCTCATATCTAATTCGAGGCTAAAGCTTCGGAGTAAGTCTCATGGTCAAGCCTTTGATACTTGGACCACGTCTATGGTAAAAAAAGACCTACGATCACCCAACTAGCTCCAGTCTCCGCCGCGTCTATCCTGTTTTTATCCAAAATACGAAGTATATGACTTCCTATGCCATAGTCTCTTATGCGCCAACCCACAAATGTTGTGGTACTGCTTGCTCTGATTAGGTATTAGCCTCGAATTAGTCACCCTGGAGCATGGGAAGGGTAATAAGGCCTCGAGTAACACAGATGGAGTGGCAGGGCTCGAGTGAGATACGTGAACCAGGGATATAACAGACGGATCTGAGGGCGCAAGAGAGAGACTGTGATAAGACCTCTAGGAAAGGAGGACTGCATAACAATTTGGCAGACTCTGATCAACATTCCTAGCACAAGGGTGAAGGAGGTGAGTACGACAGCGTGGGGTGTAAAGGATTTTCATGAATGTCACTCAAAGGAGCACACCACACTACATTTAAATAAGCACGGTAAAAAATTGCAACAGTGAAGGCGTGATAAGAGGATATAGGAAATGTGAATAGCCCAGGGCAGGAGAGATACCACAACCGTTTAGCACACGTTTGGTCAAAGGATTGGCTTCATTTGTCTCTTTGACGAGTATGATGCTAAGAATGGTGAGACTCAATGACGATGCCGGCGAAACGTCTGGGAATGTAGCACGTCAACGGTCCGACTTTGGAAAATATCATGCATACAATGGACTCAGGCCTTCCTATAAGTCTTCCTACCAATATGATCAAATTGTGAAAACAAGGTCAAACAACCTTTGTATATTTAGCATTTATTTGAAAATGTTTGAAGCCAAGTTATGTCATTCTACTTATCTTAAACGTCACTTTTTAATAAGCCTCTTTCTTTGTCTTCGTACTTGCCCACATTTTCTCTTCACATTCTCAAACCCTAGCGCGCCACTCCTCTCACACATGCAATAGTCAGTCGGTTTGGCTTGTCTGATCGCCTTGGAGACCAGGTTATCTCCGAACCACAACTGGCCAGTAGTCAGATCGGGCCGAGCACCCGAGACGCAATTGACGCAGAGGTGGCTGGTTTACTGTCTGCTTCACTAGAGCGAACTCGTGCTCTGCTTACCCCACACGCCTATCAGCACCGCCGATTAGCAGAAGCTCTGCTTCACTATAAAACCTTGAATCACGATGATGTCGATGCAGTGATTGAGGGTCGGCTTAAAGCACCTACGTCACAGTTGCCAGCAGTCTCCATCTAACACTGACGATGGTCCTCGGACCACGATTTTGGGGGATAGTTGAAGGGTCCCAGAAGACGAATGCAATCAGCTCCTGTCACTCCCGCTGATGGTGTTGATAATAGTGATGCGAGGTCGAAACTGCAGTCCACCCTGGATGAGAACAACTTTTGGGAAAACAAGGCTATGTGAAAATTCAATGGAAACGTCAGCTCAACTCATATCATTGTGGGAAAATTCTTCTTCTACCAGTCCGGCATCACCTTAAACGATATTGGGTAAATACATCTTATATTACTGATTTACTGGTAGTCACTAAAACAATACTTAATTTGAAAAATAAACTTTTTCTGTCGTAAATTTGATTTGATACCTTCAGTCTAGCTTTGTTGGAAAGGCAATAAATACTTAACTATTGGTAGTATGGACCCCTCGTGCTTTGACAGAGGGTCACGAATTGTTCAGAGTTTTTACGTTAAAGTCCGTTGAGTCCAGTTCATTGATGCATTAACGATTTTTATAGGAGGGAAAAGTATTTAAAGGTTAGTGAAGTCATTTCCCCGCAATCTTTTAGACCGCATGAGGGAGCCTATGCATGCCAATTTCTCATCATGCCTTCATTTTTCATAAATTTTTCCTCTCATACGATTCCAGCACTATTTTTATTTATCATCCAAGACATTACTTAAAAGCTGGAGTGATACTCACCTAGCACTGTTTAAGGCTGACTACCCTCATAGCCAGTAAAAATTCTCCAAATATAACTATGTTAAGTATGAATTAATCTAGATAGAAGATTCACTTGGTGTTCCTTAACATGGGAGCGTCGATGCCTTGTGCTTGTGCTGCGGCCGTGATATTACGTATAAAGTGCATAAAATAACTAACCAGATCATCAAATGGCTCGTTAAGTGTAAAAACTCGGGCAATATGAAGTAGGATTGCAGCTGGCCCCTTTTCTTGTCATAGTGCTTGGGGAAATTTTGTAAAGTATGGCTTTGTTATTGGACGATTTCTGTCACATGTCACACACAAACTTAGCTCCAATTCATCTTAGTTGGTGGACAATGCCCCATGGATCTACACAAATCTACAGTCACAACTCAAACGCAATCCTCCGGCTTCTGATGAAGCCGATTTGCAAATCCCTTCCACTCACCTTTTCGATCGAAATGAAGGCACGCCGATATCGATATATTAAGGGACCCTTCGAAACCCAGCTTTATGTATAAGGAAGAAAATTTCATGTGTTCACCCCATTTCATTTAAGGTGGTGAAGGACTGGTAGTTAAATTTTTCCACAATGATATAAGAAGAAATGACGTATCCATCGAATCCTGCATAGCCTTGCATTCCCAAAAGGTATCCTTATCCAGAGTGGACTACAGTTTTGACCTCTCTTAGGTATTATCAACATCCCCAGCAGGACTATAAACATGACAGTGCAAAACATGACAGAGCAAAAGGACTAGGATGCCCTCACCTCACAAGACTAATTGACATCACAAGCACGCAATATACGCATAACCATAATTAATCATGCATCACCATCTTAAGTACATAAGATAATTCATTTATATATGAGATTTATTCATCCTATTCCATTTAATTTTACATGGCCTTGCTAGTCCAAAGGTATTCTAGTCCAAGATGGACTGCAGTTTAGACCTCATCTAGGTAGGCACACCCACGGGGATTCGAACCATGTTAGTGCAGAGTATAATCTCATCGCATTAATCAATACGCCACAATTATACGAGTGCTCATAGCTACAAGGTACAATAAAGGCAAGGCGACGCATCATCCCATATCCCATTCTTTGGAAAGATTGGCCGTCCAGTAACCCATGGGGAGCGAGGCCTGCCATTCTCAGCACCAAGCTACAAGAGCAAGCACCAAGAGACAAGTGAAGTCAATTCCTTGACCAGCTTTCTGCCGAAATGGATGCGCTATCACCCATCTTTCTATCCTGGCCAGCTATTTACTCCCTACCCTCTTGTCTCCCTCCCGCCCTATCACAACTTGAGAATTGGTTATAATATACTCTCCTGGACGCATGACCTTTTTATCGATTTAGCGTGACGTGGCAGTTTGATTGCGTACTCACCTTGTCCGAGGTCGTCTGCTACCCTGATTATGATAATTCATAGCTTTGCACCGTTGACTTAGTACATTCCCAGGTGGTGGGAATTATCACAACTACTATAGCAGAGAGCTTCGTACAAGGTGCGTCCAACAAGGTCGCTATGACGACATGATCAAGTAGCGAAAACGAGGCCGGAACGTTTTAATACATGGAAAGAAGACTGAGAACAAATCAGAGGCCACAACATCTTGAGTTCATACTTATTATGGCGCAAACCTACGCTGATAAGGAGTAGAGAAAAGTTACATCGTGAAGTTATGGCGGCAAATTTTGGCGAGTAACTAAAGCAAGAATTTGTGGCGCGAATTTATATTCACAGGTTACGTTGAGTAATTCTGCAAGTAGTTAGCATTGCCTCCATGGTTTAAAATACCTTATTAGATGTAAGGCTATGCTAAAATAAATGTAAAATTTAACCATCACTTCTTCAGCCATGGTGAATAAATCCACCTATCTTCTTTATAAGTAGCTTGCTCTTTCCACAGGAAAGTATGAGAACGGGCTCACTAGTTCGCTACAAATAGTCTTACAGCGAACTATATATGATTTAACTTCACCCTACTTCATTTAAGGTGTAAGAGAACCAGTAGTTTAATAACATTGAATTTCCACTTGTCAGACCTCTCAAAGTGTTTTTTCATCCAGGGCGAACTGCAGATCCAAGGAAACCTTGGAGTTATCAGAACCTCCAAGCTAAATCTCGTGAATGAGAAAAGTGGAGTCCATCCCTTGACCAACTGTTTGCTGAAAAGGAGTGATACCACAACTATTGTACAGACAGTTGGTCAAGGAATGGAATTCACTTGTCTCTGAAGGGTTAAGCTTGCTGCCATGAATAGCAAGACTGACTATGCCGACTACATTGCAGGTGAAACGTCTGGCAATGCACCAGGTCTACGTGTAGAGACTAGAAATTATCATAAATATCATGGAAGAGAAATTTGAAGAGGGTTATTTTACCTAGGTCTCCTTGATAACGAGGATAAGTTTCGAAAATGTATTAAAGTTCGCCAACCATTTCGTTGAAAGTGGAGTTTACGACTAGGTAGCAGCCTCCGAGTTCATGGACTAGGAAAGCAGTCGATTGGTGCATCACCCAAGACAATTTATACAAAGAGGATAATATGAACGAATCAAAATCGCTGATAACTTGGCGAAAAGGGAAATGCCAAACAGAAAAAAAATCATTTGGAGGTTCGCGCGCACTTGTAGAGAATCTGTATACATGAATGGGTGAGACCACCATTCAAGCGAGAATTCTGATGGTTCTAAAATTATCATTAAGTCTTGAATAATAATTTAGTCATCCTAGGACGGTTAAGGTTAATTAAGGACCGTTAGTTGAGTGTTCCCACAATGGGATAAGTAGGGCATACGAGTCCATTTAATTTAACTTAAACTTACCTCCAAAATAGATATCATATCCTGCAGTTCAGACCCCTCCTTACTTTCATCCGCAACCCCAATTGGATTCGATACTAGTCATATTATAGCGAAGGTACTATCCGATTAAACACCCATGAGTTCCGGTGGGTCGAAGGGTAGATGGGACACTCAAGGCGAGCCAGGCTTCTTACAAATCACATTCAGAGTGGGATGTTTGATTAATTAAGCATGCATTTATTATTGCGATCGACGAAATTACTTATTTTTGTACAAATAGGCCCCGAGACTATAACGATTATTAAATATTAACCTTGTCAACCTAGATTGGTTAGGGGAAATAGTGTCGAGAATCACATAGTTTATCCACAATGGAATATGTTGGCCGCATTAACCCATTAAGTTGCACCTAGCCTTGTCTCCAAAATGCCTATCCCATTCAGGGTGGGATTCAGTACCAGGTCGTGAGTATCGTGGAGATGTTACCACCTTACTTCACCACATGGCCACGGGTGCCGGGGCGTCGTATGACCCTCTAAACCAAGATGGAATGATCTCTATTTTGATCGTAGTCTCTCTCCGTTGTATAGAGGTGGTTTGATCTAGTTTTCGCAACTATAGCGTGTTGTCCAAGAGACCTAGATGAATGCCTAATATCTCCAAGGTAAGTACGGTTTACATTCTTTTCGGAATTCGTTATTATATACAAAGTAGAATAAATTGATGGCCAGACAGGGCAATCACATTTGTTTTGTGAAATTTCGCCCCTCTTGTAGAATTATCCCTAGATTTTGTTTTTTATAAACCAAATTTGTCTTATAAGACTGAGATTGATCTTTCGGACGTAGGCCATAATTTGATTTATATTAAGTTCCAGTTAAACATTTTAAAGTAGCACCCATTAATTAGAATCAAGACCAGACTCAAGTAGATATTTTTAGAAGCCCTTAGTTCAGAGGAGTTGCTTAAATAGTATGATAAAGTTTTTCAACAGAAAAGATTTAAATATGATAGGAAATTAAAAGTTTGAGCATTAACATTAGATCAAGAAAATATAAGTAGGTATAATCGAAATGAGTTGAAACAATATACTGCTTATGTCAACCTATTTCGTCTTAGGTAATAATAATAATTGCCTCCATGGTTTAAAATACCTTCTGAGATGCAAGGCTATGCTAAAATCAATCACATCTAAA